GTGGTTAGAGGAGGAGGGCCTTCCATAGACCAAGACCTGTTCTAGATGATATTACATGTCTCCTAAACTGGTTTGCCTTCTAACATTCCCTGTTCCACTCTGCTGGGGATGGTTCAAGGGCACTGCCCCTGCCCCATTTCCAGGTGAGCTGAGAGAAGGAAATGTACAGGGTGTCCAAGGAGCTTGTGGCTTTACTAGGATCAGTTCTGGTCTCCCTGACTCTCTGTGTAGATTCAAAACCAGGAGCTTCCTATGACAGATTCAATGCAAACTCCTCTAGAACTCCCCTGGCCACTGGGAGCTGTGAGGGCCTGACACTCTGCATCAGGCAGTATCTCCTAGGATGGAATGTAACCACTAACACCCCAGGTCCCCAAGTACACGCATTTAACAAGCTGGTGAAGGAGAACCACAGCAATCTAGTAAGGGCAATAGGAACACACACCACCACACCACAGAGTTTGCAAAAGCATGCTATGATACAGGGGCAGGGTAGCGGGGCACAGACAGGGTTGGGTCCCGCTCTGCGCTAACTCACTTTGCAACCGTAGACAAGTTATTTATCTTCCCCAGATCTTAATTTCCTTACTTGTAGCAATAGTATCTACCCCGCAGGGTTCTTCAGAGACTTGAAAGAGATGGCATATGTAAAATGTTTAGCGGCCATGGGTATAGGCCATGGGAATGGAATGTATTCACTTCTAACTAAACCGTGCCTGGGTTAAAAAAGAAGTAAAAGCTCTTAAATTTTGGACACATAGTCTTCTGTGTTTAAATGTTCAAATGTTAGTGTCTCGGTGAAGCTATTCAAAGAATGTAAGCTCTGTGAGGCCAGAGACCCTTATTCATCACTTACCTCCAAAGCTTACACAGTGCCTCACCCATAGTATGGCTCAACAGATGTTCTATGGATGGATGCATGGATAGATAGGCCAAAACACAAAAGTGCTGTCCTTCAATTGCAAAGGGGGCTGCCACCGGAGAATTGATTTCCTCCGTCCCTCTCTCAGTGAATGGCACCTGCCATGTCATGCTAAGGTAAAAATCTGGACTTCACTGTGACCATTCTTTCTCATTCACTCTTCACAACCAATCAGCTCTGTCAGTTCTACCTCCTAAATTTTAGCTGGTGAATGCACTCTCTTCTCCATAACTCTACTGTCACTGCCTTTGTTCCTTGGCCTTCCCAATTCTGTTCTGTTCTACACCACCTGAAAACTACTCTCTGGGCCTCCGGTCTGTACCCAGCCCTTCTAAGCCGCTCTCCACACTTGGGACAGAGTGATTTTTAAAAAGCACAGATTTGATCAGGTCATTACTGCCACCCCGCACCCCCAAACCCTCGCCAGCAGCCTCACTTAAGGATGTTCCATGACACACTGTAGACTTAAAGATAAAGCCCGAACACCTAAGCATGGCATTCTCAGCCTTCACAAATGTGCTCCTGTCTGCCTCTCTAGCCTTACCTGGCCAATCACCAACCCACCCACCTTGGGCTCCAGGGCATCTGTAGCAAGTTTATGTTCTCTCTTGCCCTGTGCCATTGCCTGGGCTTCTTCCTCTTCCTGGAGTGCTCTTCCTCCACCTTCCCTGTTCTCTTCCACATTCTTCAGAACTCAACCTTGCCATCACGCCCCTGGATTGCTTTCTCTGATTGCCCCTGGCCCAAGAATTGGATGTCCTTCTTCCTAGGTACTCCCAGTGCTTAGGGCTTAGCCCACAACTGTGTGAGCTTTTTCCCTGTCTGTCCTTCCCAGGTGCCTGGCTCACCCAAAACACTCATAGTGCAGTGTTTTATCTTCAGTGTACCTAGTACACCCCCATCTAGTTCTGGCACAATGACTTTCTTTTTTTTTTTTTTAATCCCTGCTTTCATGAAGCTTATATTCTCTCTCTCTGTTTTTTTTTTTAATGTTTATCTGTTTTGAAAGAGAGCGAGAGCCAGTGGGGGAGGGGAAGAAAGGGAGGGAGACAGAGAATCCCAAGCAGGCTACACACCATCGGCACAGAGCCTGATCCAGGGCTCGAGCTCATGAACCATGAGATCATGACCTGAGCAGAAATCAAGAGTTGGATGCTTACCCAACTGAGCCACCCAGGTGCCCCGGCACAATGAATTTCTCGAATTGATAAATATTTTGTCACACCATTCACTTTCTCAGAAGCATATTCATAATCAACATCACGTCTTTGGATGTTGTGGGACCAGGCAAGATAATTAGCCAAGGATTAGAGTATGGTCTATAACTCCAGAAAAATCTATCAGAATAAACATGTGGAGAACATGTTTATAACTAAACGTCAAGACATGATCCAACAAATATGATCACACATTTTTTTGTCCTAGAAAAATTTGCACATATAATATTTACAGCCACCCAATCTGATCTGTCATTTTTGCCCTACTATGTTATCCAAACATGCCAACTCAAGACACTGAATTAATAGCCAGTATGTAAGCGACTAATGTTCTTGGTGAGCTTGCTATGCAGTAAGCATTATGTGAAGTGCTTTGCAATCACTTGCAAAGTGATTTAATCTTCTCACCCTCTGAAGCACATCTTTTTATTATCGCCATCTTACAGATGAGGAAACTAAGGCGTAACACTTGCCAAAGATTACACAGGCAGCAATGGACATCTTACCAGCAGGAGATGAGTGGTCTGTTTGATCCTCTCAGTCATTCTGCTACACTGACCTAACCATGACCTCTTAACCTTATTAGATTATCAGAAGAGCCACTTCTGGGCAAAAATAGCTGGTGGCTTCCGGAAATTTTTATTAAAACCCTAAATCTCCTGGCAATAACTTTCAAAAGTCATGATTCAGACCAGAAGTGATATTTGAAAATGGAATCACAATGCAGGTCTCTTGGCTACAGAGATGCTTTCGCTGCTGGAGAGGAATGCTCAACCTTGACATTTATGACAATCTGTGTTTTTCCTGTCATGGGGCTTTCGCCATCATTGTCTATTGAAAGGCACTGGCCCTCATTTAATCCTCCCTGAAGAATCCTGTCAGGCTTAATCCGTCTGTCCTGTTCCTTGATTGCCATTTCATTGAGATCTAGAGGAATGTGTCTTAAAGTCCTGATAGCTGACTACCTACATAATGATCCCCTGGCCACTCATAAAAATGCATATTCCTGGGCCCCATATCTATTGCATAGAGTCTCTACAGATAGAAGCCCAAGAAGCAGCATTTTAATTGCATTCTCCAGGCAATTCTTACGAATACCAATGTTTCAGAACCACAAATGTGGTCTCCGCATCCTCACAGCTCCCAAGTGTGCTCCCTGGACCAGCACCAGCAGCTTGCTAGAAAACACAAAATTCTTAGGCCCCAGTCCTGAACAACTGAATCAGAAGTTGCATTTTAATGAAGGTGATTTGTATTCACATTACTGTGCATACAGAGAACCAGCGATCTAGAACAGTGTTTCCCAATATTTTTCATTTCGTGGCACGCGTGGAAAACAAAAGCACTTGGTTAGCATACAGATGAGAATGCCCAGTACGACAGTGGGGGCTCAGCTCCAACTTGGCCACCCCGAAGACTGAGGGGATCGATACTCCAGGCATGCCTGATTACAGCACACTAGTTGAGTAGCACTGGTCTACTTACAAGTATACCCAAATCTGTTGACTTTCTACATTAGGCGTAACTCCCTATATCTTGCCTATTCTTATTTCCCTCATTACTTATCATTTCTTTTCAAGCACAGGTAGAGTCAGAAAGGCTCCGTCAACTGGGTCTTAGGAATCATCATACAATGGAAGAACACAGTCACATCTTCACATTCCAGGCAGACTCTTTGAGAAATGCAGAGATAAAAAGTTGTCTGTTATTCTGAAGAGTCATCTGCTATGCCCCAAGGAATACGAGGAAGAAATAAGAGCCTTCTGCCCTTCAAAGAATGCTCTTTTCCTCTTAGTTCACAAATCTGAGGATAGAGGATCACCAGCACACAAGGTGGCTTCCTCTTTCCAGAAGAATGTGCCAAGAAAAATGTGATTTTGTTTAATCCTTCCCTGGCCAAATCTGCCATCTTATAAACTGGACAGGTGTCCCTTCTCTTAGCTAGCCCCTGATAATGGGATGACAGTTGGGAGGGAGGGAATGGAAATAGAATACCTTCAGACACATTACTTGCTGAGACGATCTGATCAAAATGATCAAGTGTCCGGACACACCATCTGACTTCGCAAAGCCCCCAGCTACGTGGAAATCCCTTTCCTTCCCCCACTAAAGAAGATGTTGAAAAATTGTAAAGCTCTAAATGTTGAGCTCTTACTTTGAAGCAAATGACGAGATCTACCCCTAAATGAAATATTGTCCTAACCTAAGCAAATACAATTGAGGAAGAGGTGGTGGAGGGAGAACTCTTGCTCCCAAACAACTCCATTTTTTTCTTCTCTTCTCACTTTATCTGCAAATCTGTGTCTAATTCTCTCCATTCTGCTTCCCTCAGTCAGAGCATGGACAAAGTAGCACGTGTTGGTGGGTTTAGTGTGGGACTATCTCTTCTCTGTGCCAAGACTGAATATACCTCAAGTCTCAAAAGTCTGTCTGATCTTCCCTTCCTACCCCAGCTATACCCAAGAGAGGGCTCTACCTGAAGTCCCTCTGCATTAGCAGTAGAGAGGACCATGATCAGAGAATGGTGTCACTTGTCGCCTCTGGTTGATTTTCATAGAACCTTCCCTTGATCCAGATCCAGAGGCAAACACACCTTTCTCCTGCTCTGACCAGGAAGTTCAGAGCAGTTGGTGGTTCAGCCGAGTAGCCATGATGTCTATGAAATGAACGGGTTTTTCTCTAAGTTCTTTGCCGGAACGGTTGGTGAAAAATCTCTACCCCTATCATCTGATCAACAAGTGCTAAAAACACAGGAGTGGGGAAAGCTGAGGGCTTGGGCCTCCCAGCCCCAGCAGCATAGCCGTGTTGCATGACCGCTTCAAACACATGATACTGAGTCAGCTCTCTGCTTCGTGGCGCAGGATGAAGAACAAACTGTGGTACTTTGAATTTGGCACCTCTGAGACCTTTGCGGCCACCTGCAAGAAGCTGCATGACCACATAGAGTTGGAGGTGAGTCCTCAGGTGGGAATAAGCCTTCTCCGGACCTTAGTTCTGCCCCTGAACTGTCACACACACCCTCAGGACATATCCCCTGGGTCCTGAACAGGTGACCCAGAGTGGAGTCCACTTGTCATATCTCCATCCTATTCCCAAACACCGCTACACCCTCGCTCAGGGTTCCAACCACCGGACCTGCCCTTTTGGGCCCATCCAGAGAACCTTGGGGCTCTGGGGCCTAGAGGTCCATTCCCATCCTCAGCCCTGCCCCCACTGTGGCCTTGCAGTTGCCCCTTCGCAGAGAGGCGAACACTCAGTTGTCGCCAGCACAGAAAGGCAAGCTGCTGGTGGGGAGAGGCAATGTCCCAAAGCTGGTCAAAGCCTGGGAGCAGACACCCCCCCCCCAGCTCGCTCCGCCCCCACTGTCACAGCTGCTTCAAGGAGCCGACTTCAGAGGTACCCCGGGTCGGCTTCGTGGGCATGCAAACTGTGCAGCTGCTCAGAAGAGCCCTCAGCTCAATGCTCTTCTGTCACCATCTTGAAATTCTTGAAAACTTTTTAACAAAGGGCCCTGCCTTTTCATTTTGAACCGGGCCCCTCAAATTACGTAGCTGATCCTGTCGCTAACTCTTCTGGCACTTTTAGCAGCCTGCCTCACACAGTTTGCCTGAGGTTTCCCCCCCCCTGGTTGATAAGCTGCCCGCCTCCCACCCGCTCACCCTACTCCTGCTGGATTCCCCTCAGAAGTCTCTTCACCACTGTGAGAGGGCTTCGTTGGTCTCCGGCCACCTGAAAGGCCAAAGGTCTATGCACAGCAGCTTGCCTCTGCTCTGCGGGTCCTCGGGCCGTTGGTTCCCTTGCCCATGGTTCTCAGCTACCACACCATCTTCCCGTGGGATTCATGCCTGTCGCCTTGTTTTCACTTGAGAAAAACAAATGAAAGAGGCAGCCAAAGAGTTCAGCCAGGGTGGGCCCGCCCTGGCCCACCAGCTTTGTCCCTAAGCCTGAATTAGCAGTCAAGTTGGGCCTGGGCACCGCTTTGAGGAGGAGCATTTGGCCTAAAGCAGTGTGGGAAAGCCCCACCATTCCCTGCAGAAGGCAGCCTGTGCGCGCAGGGAGTTTTCACAAACAAAACACAAAGCCAGAGATTCTGTGCTTCTATTTGACTCATCTGCCTGCCTCTCCCCTCCGTTGCCGGGTTACCAATCCCAGAGTGGGAGGATCTGGTCAGGGCTAATCCCTAGAACTTTTGGCCAGCTCAGGGCTCAGTTGGAGGGCAGAAAGGCCCAGGAGCCAGGGCTCTGTGTCCCCAGGTGGGACCAGCTACACCTGGGAGAGGCTGAGGAGCTAGCCCACCTCTCTGAATCCACTGCCTGGGAGAGAGCTGCAGAGAAGGAGGGCAGGGCTGGGCTCGGAGCCTGAGCCCGACCAACAGAAATGTGTGTGCATTTCTCCCGTTGGCATGATCGCCTGCTGGGGTCTCTTTAAATATACCCCGAGTGAGGGACAGCCCCAGCCTAACCACTGCCAGCTGCAGGCACACAGCAACTGCTTGTTCTCCCTGCAGCTGGCCTTGAAACTGTGCCCAGAATAGAGCAGCTCGGCTCCCCTGCCTGTGCAGCTCGCCCTCCCGGCTGCTGGTTCCCTCTGGGGCCAAGACACAACAAGGGCTCCTCCTCAACCACATGGGGGGCTAGTGGCCTCCCTGCAAAAGATGCTGGTGACCTCTGGAGGGGGTGGGATAGTTCATGCTGTGGGTTGTTGGGGACTTTGGGGAGCATTTCCTGTTTTCCTTATCTACCCATAATGAGTCTTTTTAGTATTTATTCATGAGGGGAATGCGGGGGAGGGGTCTTGTGACAGGCGGCTTCTAACACCCCGCAGGATTGGGGCCGGCACCTTTTTTTGCATCCAGAGAGCAGTGGGTAGACTTGTGATCCAGAGGGGGACAGAGAGACAGAAGGGAGCAAGGCATGTGAGTGACAGGGGTTGCAGGGCACCAGAGGTAGCTATGAGAGCATCAGGAGCCTCGGGCAGAGCAGTAAGAGAAGCTGGTTAAGTGACCTGCTAAATGTGGCCGCTAAACACAACAGCCCGGGCCCACGAGGACCAGCACACTCATCAGTTCAAGGTCAGCGGTCCCAAGAATAACTCCACACAGGTGTTTATACTACACGTCACCACTTTCAAACCCCTAGCTCGGCTTTTATTGCATTGTCCCACAGCAACCCTATAAGCTGCGTAGGTCGGGTATTATTATCCCCATTTCATGGAAAAGCAAGTTGAGGCCCGGAAGTTTAGGAGGGTAAAAAGAAAGAAGAGAAAAGTGCAAAGGGGAGAGGGAAAGGTCACATGCTTCCACTGCCTACCGTAATGTGTCCTCGTTTGACACAATAACCCAGTGAGGCAAATATCATCACATTTTTTTAAATGTTTATATATTTATTTTTGAGGGAGAGTACAAGAAGGGAAGGGACAGACAGTGGGAGACACAGAATCTGAAGCAGGTTCCAGGCTCTGAGCTGTCAGCACAGAGCTCAACACGGGGCTCAAACTCAACAAACTGTGAGATGGTGACCTGAGCCGAAGTCGAACACTTAACCAATTGAGCCACCCGGGTGCCCCTCGTCACATTTTTTTAAATAAAGAAACCGAAGCTCAGATACATCAAGTAACTTGACTAAGATTCTATTGCTGGAAACTTGTGAGAGCGAAGATTCGAGGTCTCCTGGAATGAGTTTTGTTTGAACCCAATAGAGATTTACCTTAAAAGTGCTAGAAACTCAGTGAATGCTTCAGCACGGATACACAGGTTTTTCCTCCTTTTTTGAATGTGGGCCCATTTGGTTCTGTCTCTGCTGAGGCAGCCAGGTGGGTCTGCTGAGAAATGCTTTAAAAGAACAGAAGACACAGTCCTAACCTCATTTGAGAAAGGAATCAGTTCATGCTGGACCATAGGAGTCAGAGTTATGCCTTAAAGTTTGCAGAACGCTTTCCCATGCGGCATCTCATTTTATTTTGATCCATCAAACATTGAGGGCAAATATTCACATCTTTACTTTATGAGTCAGGAAGCTGAGGCTGAGAGGGTCAGTAACTTGAGAGCACAAACTGCTAAGGGGTTGAGGGGAACAGATAGTAAAGTCTATGTAGTTGCTGTGTGTGTGTGTGTGTGTGTGTGTGTGTGTGTGTGTGTGTGTGTGACAGAGAGAGAGAGAGAGAGAGAGAGAGAGAGGGAGGGAGGGAGGGAGGGAGGGAGACACGCTGGTAAAAATCAGGGTGGTAAAACTCGAAAGCTAACCTGAGATTACACAGGAAAGGTCTCCATTAAAAGTCTCTCACAGGAAACACCACCTGTTTCTCTGAGGCTAATGGCTTGTTGAGAAGGACTAGGAGACTTGGTTGCTTCTCGGAAAGCTTACAGCCCAGTCAACAGAACACACAACAGCTGGTTAATATAGTATACTCACTTGACTAGTGCTAAGTAAATTAGACCCAGGGATCCTGGGGAACCGCATGAGGCAGATCACTCTAGATGCTGTTTTGAGCCGCTCAGAGACTCAGGCAGGGGAGAAGGTAACGCTAGATCTCCTGCTCAGCCGCGGACACTCGGCCAGGGCGGGTGCAGTGAAAGGCGCCTGGCCCAGACAAGACCAGGAGGTTAGCCCAGCTCTGTAATTAGGTCAAGTAACTTGCTGAACAGTGTGTCTGGGCCTCAGTATTCTTATCTATAAAATGGGGGGGAAGGGGTTAGGCTACTTCCCAAGGCTGTTATCCAGATTAAAGTTTTCATGATTGTTGTTGTTGTTTTTTTTAAACTAGCAGTGGAACTAACTGCCTCACAGAATCTGCAAAGCAGCCCTAAGTCGCAGGTGTCATCACCTTTCCAGAGTAGGGGATTGAAGCTGAGAGAAGCCAAGGAGCTCCCTTGAGGTCTACAGCTTATGTATGGTCAGATCAGGCTTCAAATCCAGATTTGCCCAAGACCCAGGACTTTCAAGGCAGTCCTGGAGCTTCAGTTTAGAACCCAGATTCTCAACTAGGTATGGGGCATGTGTGATCTCTTTTTATTTATACGCTTTTATTTATTTTAACAGTTCAGATAGCCTTTAAAGTAGGCATGAGATTTTTACCCTTATGAAAAAAAGAAGATAACAAATATTGCAAATGCTCGCTCTAAATGCTTCCTTTCTGGCAACTGTGAACGCTAGTGTTGTTCCTGGAAAATGGGTGCTCCGCAAATTGTGGTTGACGCTAATTAAGAAGCCAGCGTGTCACCCACATGACTGTCATCATCCCTGGTCTCAGGCTTCTCTCGGGGTCTCTTAGTCTCTGAGTTCTCCTCCCTCCCAAAGCTGCCATTAAGGTTCATTTTCACCTGATTTCACCTGAATAAACAGATAGGGGCTGGGGTGAGGGAGGGACCCAGTGAGTCACCTCCCCCACCCCAGGCCCAGAATAGCTTTGGAAAAAGGTTCTTAGACGTGATCATAGCTAGGTGGAGCCAACCAGGCAGGCTTCGACTCGAGCACTTATTTTACATGCTGTGGAAATTTTTCATTTTCCTGGCTAAAAATAAGAACTTCCAAAATTCCTTGATATTTCATCTACTTTAAAACAATGTTCACAAGGGAAGGCTAGCTGGCTCCACTAATATGAATTTCTGCATGGGGAAAAGTGAATCCAAATTTGGAAGCTGCTCAAAAAAAATGTTATCCAGTATATTTTGGGAATCCGCACATCAGGTTCCCCCTCCTCCCCCCCCCCGCCACAACGTTTAATTGAGGATTTTTTTTAATGCAACAAAGTCTTGGGAACGATATATCAAATACTCCCATTCCCCCCCCCCCACTTAGAAATATTTGTCAGTATTTTGTTTTATTCCCTTCAAGTATGTTTTAATCAAAGGAATAAAATATTTCAGATAGAACTCAGTTCCCCCGCAATCCTTTTGTGCCCCACAACTTGCCTTTTTCATGCACCATGATGTTCCTGAGATCTCTCCATGCTGA